GCACATATATTTATATGCACTCGATAAACTGCTAAAGTATAAAATTGTATCACTTATGTGTGCATTAAACACGGAAATGTAGGTGTATATTATTCAGTTATTGTTTGGGCAAAGCAGCCTATCCAAGTAGTTTGATAAGTCCTTAGCCGAGGTCCTAGTCGTGGCGAGCATGAAAAAGGCTACCAATTTTAAGAACACAAGCAGACACAAGGTACAAATTTATCTCATTCATTATGACATAAGTTGCAGTTGAGTTCACTAACACTGACATGATTGCGTACTTTTCCTAAGACCGTACCTCCTATAGCCGCTCAGTGTCCCGAAGACATGCCTTGATGCTCGATAACGGATCCTGGATACTTATTCTGGATACTTATTTTTAGGGTCTCCACTTATTTGAGGGTCCGGAAGTGGTGAACTGTTATTCCCTTATACAAAGGGTAGTTTAAGACTTTAAGGTACATGTCTTCAGTAGGCTATGGTACAGTACGTAAATAAATAAGCAATAAGCAACGTGTAGTTCGTGAAGGCTGTGCACACTAATTACAATACAAATCGCTGGGGTGTCATGAACTAAATGTCAAGTGTCGAGTGTCGAAATTTGATGTACGCGATGTGCGGCCGAAATTTCAGATATAAGAGCATAATCCTAGAATTATCGGGTCAATAATGGGGCCTAATTCGATCAAACGAGCAGTTTCCGCGTGTGGCAGGGCCTGGCCATTTATATGAAGTGAGGGTGCACGCGAACATGTAAATAAACAAATTCAGGGGATGAATAAAAAAAACTCATTGCACAGTACAAATACCCGTAGCACACTGCCAGCGGTACCATAGTCCCACCTGTGCTACTACATACGTACACTATGCAAGCCTTTAGACAGTTAGCACGCACCTGCGTGAGGGTTAATCCCCAGACTCTCACCAGCGCCACACGGTCGATGGTCACACTTAGGGCGGCTCTACCTAAGGTTGCTCCCGTGTACGCTAACAAGTTTGAAGCCTTCCGCAACTACTCGTGTATGTTTACACGCAGTTTCGCAATGCCTTGCAATATAATAATGGAGTATTGTTCGGTGTTGAAAAATGGGTTCATATTTTACGACGTTCAGGTAGTATGAAGCCGGTGCTTTACGTGTGGAATTCATAACAACACGGGTCACTTGTGTAGCATGAGTTTCGGTTTTGCCGTCCTATTGTGTAGGCAATCGGTTTCAGAATTCTACACTCGTGCGAAGTAATTGCTTGGGAAAATGGTCTATTCTATAACTACAAGTGCTGGATTGGTTTTGTTTGGTATACTATACTATCACCAATATAATGTACTTTCATGCATAAACTGACTTACTAAACAATTGGCCGTATCATCCCCGAATCCCTGTACCCGTACGTCCACGTATTTACTTGCCTTCATCCAACTGGCACACAGATAGTATCATAACTAATCACACACTTATCTCAACACCACAGCCCCCGCCCGTCAGACGCTCAACTCCGAACTGAATAAAGAAATCGCATACGAGGTTGAGAATGCTGAGGTTATGGATGGCTTCCAAGATGCACTAGCGGCCACCGGGTTCTCAGTCAAGGATTCCGCAGGTAACTGTAACCTGAGGTTGGAGAAGTTGCACGATGACGAGAAGATCACCGTTCTTATGAAGATTGAACTTATGGATGACGATGAGCCTGAGGAACCTGAGGTTAGTGTTGTGGGAGTGAGTGTTTGGGCATGTGAATGGATGTGCGATGTATATATTTGTAAGCATACGTGGAGATGAATGTGCTAGCTTCAATGGGGCTGCTTGGTCGTAGCTAGTCGGAAGGCGGGTGGCGAGGCAAAACGTTTGGTCAGTTTTGTGAAGTGATAGGCGTGGTGATTGCATTGTTACTTGACAACCTTGTTGACATCTAGTGTTTCGTCGGTGTGCATTTCTATCTACACTCCATGCTATTATATGTTCCACAAATGTTTGGCGTGCCGTTGTGCTGCCAGTGGCGTCATATTGGGTTTGCTATATATCTATCTATCTGTATATATATATGTGCGCTCGTACTTTGTGTTGTGATTTCCAGAGGAAACTGGCAGTGAAAATTGATGTTCGTTACATGCTCTGTGTATTAGCAATGTTGTCAGAAGGGATGAAATCTCGTAAAGTTGAGAAGGGCTATGATTACAATACATTCTAGGACTAGAGTTTCTGAATTAACATTGTGACGCAAAAACAGTATGAGCTGTTCTCAACAAGATACGGTGCTGACACCAGCGCTACACACATGTACTGGGGATGCCCTATAAAGTGATTGATGTACATTGTTTGTGCGTGCGAACTGCATCCTGTAATTCTTATTCCAAATTTTCGCATGTGATTTCCAATCCTCGAATATATTCCACCTCGGCAGTGACACTGAGATTTGGAACATTGGGTTTTTTAGTCCGTGAACTAATATATATATATATCCTTGTTTGATATCAGGATGGCGCTGAAGATGAACCCAGACCTAGTCAGGGTGTGTACTACACCGTCGTGGTGACCAAGAACGACAAGCAGGGGGCTCTCTGCTTCGACATGGTGTCATATCAAGGCTCAGCGTCGATCGAGACCATCACATACAACCCCAGTGCTGACAGTGCACGTATGTACTGTATGGCAAGCTGTGTCTGTAGTGCTCGTGTGTAGTGTGGGTAGTAGGAAATGATTTACTTAAGTTATCCCTGTCTTAGTCGTGGTTAGGCCCTCGACGGTGCGGAGAAGTCTATATAGACATTAGCTGATCCCACTACCCTGCAAAATGTGTGCTCTGCTTCCGTCCTTTGCCAATCGTTTTCCTGTATGGTGCTGTTTTCTCTTCGTAGAGTTGTGTTGCCGGGGCTTTTCCCCATCATACTTTTGATTGCGCTTATGTTCCCTATTTCCGAAGGTCAGATATTGACCCCATGCCCGCTTCAATTGTCTTCTCACTATTCAGTGAGCTTAGGTGTCAAGCCCGAGGGCGAGTTCGCCAACCACCAAACATACTGCGGCCCTAACTTGCAGGACATCGAGGAGGTATGCTAGCGTACTTGTTCTCAGAACCTTTGTGCATTCTTCACTATAGTATGGTCGATTGTTTGCCGACACTCTTATTATGCGAAAGACCAAGGCACAGATTAATGTACATGTGTATTCTATACGCATGATAGGTGTAAGTGATGTTACTATTTCAGAATCGCTCTGATTGTCAATGCTTGCTGGTAACAGGCGGTATTGGCGGGAAGATAATCTGAGCAACTGATACACACACTCCCTCTAGATTTATACTTTTTAACGTTTGTACTACTAGATTTTACTTCTTTTTTTAACGTTTGTACAACGAAGTGTGCCTGAAATGGCAAGTAGCGGTATGGTTGACTCTTCAATCAATCGTGCTTTCGATATAATTTCTGTTGTGCTTATGTTTGTTATTTACTGATACGATATCTATGTAATAACAACCGCGCAGAGTCTTGAGGGTGCCTTCGGCGAGTATTTGATGGAGCGTGGCATCAACGACAACTTCGCACTCATCTGCGAACAAGTATACCGGGAGAAGGAGCAGAAGGAGTACGTCCACTGGCTCAAGCAGATCAGCGAGTTCACCGCATAATGCGTTTAAAGCTGACGCTGAAGTGGATTATAGAAGTAAATATGTGGTTCTAGAGAGGTTGTGTCTAGTGCTACGAGGCAAGGATTGTTTCTAAGTAAATAAACATTGTTGTTTCGATTACTAGACTCCCCAAGTTATTCGTATGCGCATATGGGGTCCAACCCATTTTAATCGGTTTGTAGCATGGTGAATGTAATCTTGACGAAGAAGTGACTCATCCACGAGAGCCATGCTGTGAAGTTACTTGCTTTGTTTTCTGATTTAACCTTAAATCTCTTTACTGGCTAGTTCAGTTTCGTCATGCCATCTATGCTTGGGCTTTGTACCTCGGAAACATAGACATGTATCGCCGCCACTTTGTAATTCAGATACCATAAAGTAATGGTACCGGTGGCTCGCCCTTTGCGATATTATTTAGATTGTCTATGTGCATAAGTACGTTTGTATACGTGTACATTTATGTATACGTCTGTATGTGACTACAGCTGCTTGTGTATGTACAAGTTCGAGTTTGTTTGTGTATGGATTTTTTTATGATTTTTTATGGTGTACGTGCAAGGGTAAATATGTATAGGTACCTGTACACCACGCGAGGTTTGTATATCGCGTCACATCCTTCCAACTGTCTCGCTCTTAGCATCACATCCAATCCGTTTGTATGTTCAAGCAAGCGTGCGCATCGATGTCCAGTGAGAATTAATATGGCCTAATGAATGCGCTCCAGTATTGTTGCGTCCGTGTTTAATGCTAATTACATTCAGACCTTCACATTTTTAGAATGAAAGGCCCGATACACCTTGATTAAACCAACGCACTATTGCTTGGTCCATGCGCACTCGATCTAGCAAACTGGACAATCGATAAGTCTGGAGTTTCGAGGTATTTCGACAAAGTAGTGTAAGCCAAAACTTATCTCTGTTTCATTTATTTTTTGTTCTTAATTTTCATTGAAAATCAAAAGCCGACGTACTATCTTTAACCACGCACAGCAGCACCAGAAAGAATTTAGAAGCACTTGCGGTGAACAATAGAGGGACCAGACTCGTCGTACTCCTCCTTAGAGATCCACATCTGCTGGAAAGTAGATAGAGAGGCCAAGATAGATCCACCGATCCACACAGAGTATTTGCGCTCTGGGGGAGCAATGATTTTGATCTTCATGGTAGAAGGTGCCAGGGCAGTCAACTCCTTCTGCATACGGTCGGCAATTCCGGGGAACATGGTGGTTCCTCCAGAAAGTACGGTGTTGGCGTATAGATCCTTACGGATATCAACGTCACACTTCATGATGGAGTTGTAGGTGGTCTCGTGAATACCACGGGATTCCATACCTAGGAATGAGGGCTGGAATAGCGCCTCCGGGCAACGGAAACGCTCGTTGCCAATGGTTATGACCTGCCCATCAGGTAACTCATAACTCTTTTCTAACGACGAAGAAGTAGAAGCGGTCTGCATCTCCTGCTCGAAGTCAAGAGCAACGTATGCTAACTTCTCCTTGATGTCACGCACAATTTCGCGCTCGGCGGTTGTGGTGAAAGAGTAACCACGCTCGGTGAGGATCTTCATCATGTGATCGGTAAGATCACGACCAGCAAGATCTAGACGCAGGATGGCGTGGGGTAGAGCGAACCCCTCGTAGATGGGGACGGTATGAGAAACCCCATCTCCAGAGTCAAGCACAATACCAGTGGTACGTCCAGAGGCGTACAGAGAAAGTACGGCCTGAATGGCAACATACATGGCGGGGGTATTAAAGGTCTCGAACATGATCTGAGTCATCTTCTCTCTGTTTGCCTTGGGGTTCATAGGAGCCTCAGTAAGAAGCACAGGGTGCTCCTCGGGGGCTACACGAAGCTCGTTGTAGAAGGTGTGGTGCCAGATCTTCTCCATATCGTCCCAGTTGGTCACGATACCGTGTTCAATAGGGTACTTCAGGGTGAGGATACCTCTCTTGGACTGAGCCTCATCACCTACGTACGAGTCTTTCTGTCCCATACCTACCATGATTCCTTGGTGACGGGGTCGCCCAACAATGGAGGGGAATACAGCGCGGGGGGCATCATCTCCGGCGAAACCGGCCTTGCACATACCGGATCCATTGTCTACCACCAAAGCAGCTACTTCGTCGTCACACATGATTATGGTTATTTTTTGGCTTCACTCTTACAAAAAGGACTGACTTGTAATGCAGCTTATTCCGCTGTATATATAGCAATTGTGTAGGATTTGTTTTGGTACGATGATGCTGATCGATATTTGAATCGTATACACCACAGATGTGGTCGCTTGAGAGTTAGAATCTCTCAGGCATTCGCCGTTCGGTCACCGAAACACCGGTTATGTAGAATGTATATAAAATGAATTCGTGGACTATACAACGAAAACTTGTAAAAATGAAGAGTGAAAAACTCAAAACTGTGAAAGTGATTGAAAATGGCGCCGAGCGATAAGCATTCGGGGTATGATTTGATTGGCGTACCCATCGGCATTTTACTTCTTGTGTCATAAGAAAAACAGACAGAGATGAGAGACAAAAAGTCGTCAGTCGAGATTTCAGATAAAAAATAAATAGAAATATACACATCTCAACTTCGCACGAATTGCTGCGAATACGCGTGCTATTAATATTATTATTGTTGTTGTTGTTGTTGTTGTTGTTATGGTTGTGGTTGTTCTTGTTCTTGTTCAGATTTGAAATTAAGCTATCCACTCGCACTGTTTTGAGATAGTGCCATTCAAATGGATTTATTAAATTAGCCAGGCACCACAAGAAACAATTAAGTATCATTTAACAAAACACGAACACCATGGGTTACAACGTCGAGGAAGATCTTGAGCACCTCATCACCGAGATGAAGAGGTTGCAAGAGGGAACGACTGCGGAAGGGAACATCACGGTATGTAGTAAGTCACATTTATGCCTCACGGGTCAGATATAGAAAGTTAGTTTTTCAGAAGTAGTGGGAACGGCACATACTGGGAAGTTATGATATCCAGAAGTATGGATCGATACTTGAAAGTAATATGTCAACTATCAAAAGCACTGACACAGCTACACATACGCCTACGCCGCTACATACACTATTGGTTCCAAATAAATTGCTACACATACGCCAACGCCAATACATACGCAAACAGTATATGCTCTATATATATATATATAGATGGGTGGGTGTATACATATGTGTTTATGTATATATATCCATGTTTATATACACACACTATATATATATATATATA